CGCAGGCCAAGCCCTGGAAGCCGGCGGCCACCCTGCCTGCCGCGTGGACACCGTGAGTACCGAGCCCGGACCCTTGCACCTGGAGCCCGACTCCGGACCCCGGCCTGGGAGCCCCGGCGCTGCGGGAACAAAAGCGGGCGCGGCCAGGCGGACGCTGGGGGTCTCCGCGGTTCACCTCCCTCCCTCCCGGCCCTCCAGGCTCGGTCCCCAGCCTGCGTCTGCAGCCGCGCCTTTGTTCCCGAGAGGACCACAGGGGATCTGGCTTGGGGGTCGGGAGTGGCAGCCCCGGAGGGGTTCAGAGGGAGCCCCGGTCCCCAGTGGCCAGGCAGACAGTGACAGCCCGGCTGCAAGTTTGTCAGAGAGTGTGGCTTGCTCAGAGCAGAGAGGCTTTCTTTGTGTGTGGGGTTTGGTTGTTTTGTTTCGTTTTGTTTTGGAGAGGATGGAGTGATAGTGGCAGAGATCTAGACTGTGGGGCTGACATTAGTCACACGCCTGCTCCCATCCAACTCCCCTGTGATCCCAGCAGGGACCTGGCCCAGGACGGGGTGGGTCCGGGGCAGGCACAAGACAGCAGGGTGGGCTCGCGCTGGGGTGGAGGAGACCCCAAATGTGACTGGACGCTTGAGACACCTCTAGGATGAGATGACTCTTACTCTGGGCCTTGAGGGATAATTAGGAGTTTGCCAGGTAGGAAAGGGCAAAGTTCCTTCCTGGCTGAGGCCAGAATTCCCGGCTTCTGCTAGGTGGACCTTGAGTAAGACCCCGAGAAAGGAAGCAGGCCTGACACGAGCCTGGAACATTGAGGCCTGTGGGGCTGGGTGGTCAGCCAATTCAGGAGCAAAGGTGACAGACAGGACCCGTGTGGTCCCCTCTGTCTCGGAGTGACACTTGAGGCTGATGGGACACAGATTGGCCCGGACACTGCTGAGGGGTTAGTCTACCTGCCAGGCTATGCTGCCTCTGTCCCCCACCCTCCTTGGACGTAGGTGTTCCCATGTCAAAGCCCTGGCCCCTGAGACGTGCTGGTGAACCGAGAATGGGAACTCAAACTATTCAGATCGGAAACCGGGGGCTCTTGACTACCCACTTCCCTAGCTTTCTGGTTTCAGGGCCTCAGAGAAGAGCTGAACGCAGGTGTGCGTGGGGGTGAAGTACCTCCTTCACACCTTGATGAGACTCAGCACTGGTGGGGAGCCCGGCCCAACCCCTGCACCTCTCTAACTCCTTCACAAGGTCCCTGTGTGGGCCAAATGGTTTGCTTTCGGTTTTGCTCTCGGCCACTAACCGAAAGGTTGGCAGTTCACAGCCACTCAGCCACACCAAGGGAGAAAGGCCTGGTGATCAGAGACGTGACCTGTTTCCGTAGACGTGACAGCCAAGACTACTCCACGGAGCTGTTTTCCTCTGTAGCACATGAGTCGGAATTGACTAGACAGTAGTGGGTTTGGGTTTTTGGTTTTAGGTTGTAACCCCAGTGCCGCCACCTCCAGGAAGCCCTCCCAGACTACCTGTCTGCCTTGACTGACACTCAGACTTTGGGTGGTTAAGGGACTAGGGCCTGATTGACCTGGGCTGGAGGTTTCCTGAGGGGCCTTGCGCACAGCAGGTGTGCAGCAGGTGTGTGCTAAGAGAACAATGGAGGAACACACTTAGCATCCAGGTTCACTGGGCGTCTGGTGTGTGGCCCCAGGGGGGCTGATGGAGGGGACAGGACGGCCCTCCCTCCCTCCCCCATCCCACCTGCAGCCTGGGGCTTCCTCATCCCTCGCTCCGTGGCATCTCTGGGATCTTGCCAGCGTCCTCCTGCATGCTCCTGTACCCAGCCCTGGCTGAGCTGTGTCCTCTTCCCTTTATGTTGTAGGATCATGGCGGCAGAGGAGACGCACTGGCCCGTGCCCATGAAGGCCATAGGTGCTCAGAACCTGCTAACCATGCCTGGGGGCGTGGCCAAGGCTGGGTACCTGCACAAAAAGGGGGGTACCCAGCTACAGCTGCTCAAATGTGAGTCCCTGTGGGGGAGGAGCTCAGCCTGTCTGGAAGCCTGGACAGAGCCTGGCGGGGGACATGGGGGCAGAGCCGGGCCCTGCTGTGTGGACAAGTGACCGCTCCCTCTGGACCTCAGCTTCCTTACCCGGTGTTTCCCTCCCTTCTCTGCTGGCCGGCACTTCCTAGGGGACCTGGGATTGTCCTCCCCGTCCCCCAGGACTGTGGTGAGGGCCACAGTAAATAAGTGGGACAGGCCTGTGTGAACAGTGCTGACCTCTGGCCAGAGTGGGGCACCTCAGGGTGGCCTGGCAGGTCTGGGCCGTGGGAGGGGCCCTCGCTTTATCTGGTTCAATGAGTGGGACTGTCACTTGGTTCACAGTGAAGCCATGTGTCAAGCTGAGCCCCTGGCAGGGCCCCAGACCCCTGAGCTACACAGGACCCCAGCTCAGGACCCCGGGATAGCAGACCAGGAGGGGGAGCTCAGGAAGTAGTACCCAATTGCCAAAGAGCCTAAGGGTCTGGCCCGACTCTCTGACCAGGCCCTGGGCTGCCTGGCTGAGCTGCCCAAAGCCAGGCTGTTTGATCCCTGTGTAGACACTGGGTGGCTGGGACCAGGAGTCTCCAAGGAGGGTGGAAACGGACCTCTCCAGGCCTTTGGAGGGCCTGCTCAGGATGGGCAGTGGAGCGTGGGGTTTCTTGGCACAGCTGCCCAGCCGGGAGGTTGGCTCACATAGTGGCTGGCACACTCTCTGGGCCCTGGTACTGCCCCTTGTCCCCTCTCACTGTGCCGGCCTGAGGGGAGGCAGCCACGGGCAGTCCTGAAGCCCCCTGCAAGCCAGGCTTCCCTCCGCCTTTGGTTCTTCTGTGCCTGGCTCTGTCTCCCAGTCTTTGTCCCTGGGGCCCATGGTGGCTCCACCCACCCCAAGTCACCCCCTCCCTGTGGGTGGCCATGGAGTTATTTGCATTGGGCTGGCCCAGCTCCTCATCCTTCCATCCAGTGGCTCAGAGGGGGGCGGTGTGCCGAGCCCCTCAGAGGGCTTGCCCCTCTCTCAGCCCTGCCTGTCACCTGCAGGGCCCCTTCGCTTTGTCATCGTCCACAAGCGCTGTGTCTATTACTTCAAGAGCAGCACCTCCCCGTCCCCGCAGGGCGCCTTCTCGCTGAGTGGCTACAACCGGTAAGTGCCGTCCTGCCCACTGCCCCACAGGCCTCTGTCGGTTGGGCCCAGCCCTCGTTCCCCGCCAGGAGGGTCCTGGTCTCCAGAGATGGTCTCTGTCGTCATCGGCTGTGGACCATGTCCCACTGCTGCTGCGTCCTTCTCTAACCCCCACGGCCCCCTCCTCCTCTGATGCCCTCAGAATCTGCTTTTGGGGCCCCTTGGCCACAGCTGAGGTCAGGGCCCAGTTGTGAGCTTCCTGCGGCCCCGTGGACAGGCCTGAGGCCAGGGCGACCTGCTCGCCAAGTCCCCGCTGCCCAGGGTTCAGCTTCCTGTCCCTCCCCTCCTGGCCACCACAGGATCCTTCCAAGGAGCCGGGAGTTCAGCCTACCCCGAGCCCTGACCCTGGTACATCCGCTGAGGGCCTAGCAGTCTGGGAACTGGGCCCCAGGGTGTTGTCCAGCCAGCAGGCAGCTGAGTCTGAGGGCTCCTCCAGGCCCCCGAGGGGCCAGAACGGGCTCCCCTGTCCAGGCGCCAGCAGACCACCCACACACTGCTCATTTTGAGTTCTGTGAAAACGTCACGTCCAGGTGGGGGGCAGCCCTCAGCAGATGTGTTACTGGGCTGCCCCGCAGTGCGCCCAGGGGTACTGCTGGCCGCAGGTCACCATGAAGCCTCGTGCAGCCCCAACAGCCAGGCCAGGGCCAAGCTGAGGCTGAGTGTGAGGCGCTGCTGTTGGTGGGCGGTCGTGGCTGAGCCCTGCGTGTGACTGCTCCCACGAAGCCCCCTGAGACCCCAGTGCTCCTCTGTAATGTCCACGGGCCAGCTCCCTGTGTCCCTCAGCCAGACAGCTCTAGGCCCCAGCCAGGAGCAGATCTGCCCCGTGCTTTGGATATGGTGCGGGTTTCAGGCCCAGCGTGCAGCCATCCCAGTGTGGGGACAGTGGGCCCCTGGGGTCGACCTGCACCGATGGGCATGGCTTGTGTGCTCCCAGGGTGATGCGGGCAGCAGAAGAGACCACGTCCAACAACGTCTTCCCCTTTAAGATTGTCCACGTCAGCAGGAAGCACCGCACGTGGTTCTTTTCAGCCTCCTCAGAGGATGAGCGCAAGGTGCCTGGGGCTGCGGGGCTGGGTGGCCAGGTGAGGGGAGGGCAGGTGTGGGCCCGCCTAGGCCGCCATGCCCACCGTGGCCCTGGTCCGGGGCTCCCGTTTCCCCCAGTCACTGCAGGCCAGCCTGGGGGATTGGGCGAGGGTAGTGGAGGTGTGGGCCCACCCAGGCCGCCATGCCCACCGTGGCCCTGGCTGGGGGCTCCTGTCTCCCACCTGGTCACTGCAGGCCAGCCTGGGGGATTGGGCGAGGGTAGTGGAGGTGTGGGCCCACCCAGGCCGCCATGCCCACTGTGGCCCTGGTGACCCCACAGAGCTGGATGGCCCTGCTACGCAGGGAGATCAGCCACTTCCAGGACAAAGAGCCGCCCCTGGATGCCAGGTGGGCCTCAGGTGGGACAGGCGGCGGTCGGGGAGGGAGTTGTGGCTCCCAGGCCTGTCACTGGGGTGCCTGGGATGGGATGCTTAGGCCACCTCCCAGGCCTGGGGGCTTGGTCCAGAACCCCGAGTAAAGGGTTTTCTGGAGGTGGCAGCCAGACCTTGTGTGTGCATGTGCGGGTGTGCGTGTGCACGTGTGTGCACATAGGAAAAGCATGTGTAGGCATGTGCATAGGAGTGTACAGTTGTGGACACGTATGTGCGGGCATGTGCATGTGTGTGCTGGTGTCTCTGTGTGGCTGAATTTGTGTGCTGTGTAGCTCCGTATGTCTGTGTGTCTGTCTGTGTGTTGTGTGTGTCCACATCAGTGTGGACTGAGTCGATGTGTGTGTGTGCATGTCTGTGTGTCCTCATGTCTTTCGATGTGTCCATGTGTCTGTCTGTGTTTCTGTGTGTTTCGGTGTCTGTAGATATGCCTGTGCATCTATACGTGTGTTGTGTGTGTATGTCTGTCCATGTCTGTGTGTCTGTCTGAGTGACCGTATGTATGTGCGTGTGTGTGTGCGTACATGTGTGCACGTGTGCTGAGGGAACGCCCCTGCCCATGCTCACTGCCTGGCCCCCGCCCACCGACTGGTGCTCAGTGACTCCAGCTCGGACCCAGACAGGTTCTATGGTGTGGTGGAGCGGCCGGTGGACATCAGCCTTTCCTTGTACCCCACGGACAACGAAGGTAAGGGCCGTCACCACCCCACCACTCTCCAGGCCCAGCCTCCTGTCAGGCTGCGGCATGGGGCAAGCATATTTGGCTGGCTTCCGTGCTGGTCCCTCTGGCAGCGACAGGGTCTCCTGGGTACCAGGTTCAAATCCTCCTGCCTTGTCCTCACCCCCATGCTGCCTGGCTCTTGGCCCCTGTGGGTAGTGCCTTGTTTTGAGGCTCAGCTCACAGGGACCTGCCTGTGTCCCTGGCTCGGGGAGAGGGCGGGGTGCCTGCCACCCCGTCCCCGATGCAGCTGGGCCCATGGCGCTGGCTCTGACGCCCCGGCTCCCACACAGACTACGAACATGACGATGAGGACGACTCGTACCTGGAGCCCGACTCCCCCGAGCCCGGGAAGCCCGAGGGTAGGTGGGCTGGGCAGATGGGTGGGCCAGGGGGCACCCAGTGGGGAGAGAGCCTCGCTCTGGATGGCCAGGCTGGAGCTGCCTGGGGCTGAAGCCTGAGGGGCAGGCATCGAGGGGCCATTTTCCTCTGGTTGACAGCTCACTGTGGAGCCCTAAGTGGGGCCCCGACCTATCACACAGGGTCCTGGCCCTGTTCGCACCCCCGAAGCGCACAGCTCCGCAAGGGAGGTGGGCCACCAGCAGTCAGGGCACGGGGTCTCCTGTGCCTGTATCTTGCCCCTTGGGTCACAGACCTCCACCCCACCTGGGCCGTGCAGGCCCGTCCTGTCTCCAGCCCCCCTTCTTCTTGGTGATGACCCCCCCGGGCCCTGAAGCCTCGTCCTCTCTCCAGCCCCCCTTCTTCATGGTGATGACCCCCCGGGCCTTGCAGCCCCACCCTGTCTCCAGCCCCCCTTCTTCGAGCTGATCTCATGGTCCCTTGGCTGTCCTTCCAGCTTCTTCTTCCAAGGCCTCCCCTCCCCACTCTCCCCCTGCCCCACCCCTCTTCCTGACGGGGGCTCAGCTTCCAGTCTTCCAGTTCCCTGGACCTTTGCTCCTTGTCTCCCAGCCCAACCTCAGGTCTACTCCTGCCCACACGGGGCCCATGCCCCACCTCATCGCCCCACACCACACTCGGCCCAGTGTCTCTCGGCGTCAGCCCATTCACTCAGCCCTCAGCACTGGGGAAGCCTGCGTGGAGCCCATGCAGGTGGACCTTACCAAGGCTCCCTCAGGCCCCAGACTGGGACCTTCAGTGGGCCCGAGGCTGTCTGCTCATTGGCCCAGGCTTTCCCTCCCTCTAGCCCACCACTGCAGACAGGCTTTCTCCCTGTCTCCCCGGAACTGCTGTTGTCAGCATTCCCCCTCCCCCCAGGACCATCCGGTGCTTAGCTCCCCGGGAGCGGCGTGGCCTGGGCACCCACCCACCCCGTGCTTGGCACTCTTTGCTCTGGGCTGGTCCATGCTCACGGGCCCTGCCTCCTGCCTCTCTGCGTGGGCCCCTCCTCACTGCCTGGTCCCTCGCTCCCTCTTCTGCACTCCCTGGTGACAGCAATGTCACCCGTACACTGCAGGCTCCAATGCACACTGCCAGCTGGGACCGCACCCCTCAGCTGTGGGCTTGTGTCCCAACAGCCCACTCAACATTCTCCCCAGCTTGGGATGTCTTACAACATCTGGAACTTGTCAGCCACGCAAACAGCTGCCCGGCCCTCCCACTAACCCTCCCACGTTGGGCTTTGGACACCCCTCCTGACTCAGGCCAAAGCCTCAGACCCTACTGGTCTCTTCTCTCAACTCCATCCCTGGCATTCCCGATGCCCTCTGCTGGGGGTCATGGCTGCTGTGTGGAAGGTGGATGTAGACAGGGCCCAGGGACCAGGCTGGAGCTGGTTGGTCGACCCTGTAGAGGGGGTGTTGGCTCGGCCTCTGGGCCAGTGACCTCCACTCACTTCCACTCACCTCCTTGATCTACAGACGCCCTGATCCACCCGCCCACCTACCCGCCGCCCCCTGTGCCCACGCCCAGGAAGCCGGCCTTCTCCGAGGTGCCCCGTGCCCATTCCTTTATCTCCAAGGGCCCAGGACCCCTGCTGCCACCCCCACCCCCTAAACGAGGCCTCCCAGATGCAGCCCTGACCCCTGAAGACGCCAAGAGAGAGCCATTGCAGCGGTGGGCAGAGCCCGGCCCCAGGGCGCCTGCCCCACCCCGGAGGATGAGCGACCCCCCACTGGGCAGCATGCCTGCAGCGCCCAGCCTCCGCAAGCCCCCTTGCTTCCGGGAGAACACCTGCCCCAGTCCGGAGCTCCGACTCCCCAGCCACGGGACCGGTGCCGTTTCTGCCACGGCTGCCAGTGAGGCCGGGAGCTGGGATAAGCTCAAGTCTTTCCACCTGTCCTCCCGGGGGCTGCTCACACCCGAGCCCCCACCTGTGCCGGCCAACAAGCCCAAGTTTCTGAAGACAGCTGAGGCAGCCGGCCCAAGGGAGGTGGTCAGGCCTGGACTCTTTGTGCCCCCTGTGGCCCCCAAACCTCCCGCCCTGAAGCTGCCGGTGCCCGAGGCCCCAGCCCGGCCTGAGATCTTGCCCAGGCAAGGGGAGCTGCTGCCGGCCCCGCTCCAGTAAGTAAGTCCGCGCCACGCTGGGGCCTCACATCACCCCAGCTACTGGTCCTCCAGCCTGGCCCTCACTACACTCAGCCCAGGACTAGACCCTGTGGTTCCGGGTGGAAGGTGGGGTCCTTGACTGCTCTGCAGAGCCTAGGTTGATCAGCTTTCCCTGTGCCAAACGCAGGGGTGGTTTGCCCCAGATCCAGTCTAGGGTGCAGGGGCTTCCTGATCTGTATCCGGGGCACGGGGGGGCCCCAATCCAGACCTGGGCTGGTGGGGGCCCTTTGATTCAGACCTGGACTATGGGGGGGTGTCCTCTGATCCATACCCAGGGTGCAGGGGGCCGCAATCCAGAAGTCAGGTGTGGGGGGCCCCAAGCCAGACCCAGGAGTGTGAGGGAGTCCTCTGATCCAGACCCAGGAGTATGGGGGGGTCCTCTGATCCAAACTCGGGGTGCAAGGAACCCCTAATCCAGACCTGGGATGCAGATCTGGGGTGCAAGGGGCCCCTGATTCAGACCCAGGAGTGTGAGGGAGTCCTCTGATCCAAATCAGGGCTGCGGGGGCCCCTAATCCAGACCTGGGGAGGCCTCTGATCTAGACCTTGAATGATGGCCAGTCTGGTGGGGGTTAGGCTGGGATGAAGTGACTACCTTGAGAGATAGCAGTCAGTATGACCTCGGAAGGAAGATGAGGCAATCTACTTCCCTGGTGATACTGCCTCGGAAACCCAAGAAGGGGTTGCTATGAGTCAGGTCCGACTCAATGGCACATAACAACAACAACAACAACAACATGACCTGGGGACACAGGCCTCCTGGACACTGTGGGGTGAGGAAAGGTCCCTGCGGGGCTGACCTGGGACTGGTGACATGGAGATGAAAGCCCAGTCACGCTCCGTGCCTCTGTAGGCCTCAGGCCCAGACCCGTGCCGGGCCTTACCACCCTGCCTGGGGCTTGGGCTCTGTCTCCTCCTGACTCTGGAGAGACTCTGGTCCTGCCCCAGTTGGGAAATCCCTGGAATGTGACCCACCCTGAGGCCTGATCAAAACCCTTTCAGTTTACTGTCTGGGCAGCTCTGGGATCTGACTCCTGCTTGGGCTGTGGAGTGTACACACCAGGGCCAGTGTGTCCTGCTCCCTGAGATCAGCTGTCCCCAGGGCTTGTGGTTGAAGGGGTCTGAGCATACTGCTGGGTGAGGTGGGGGCCTGGGAGTGCAGGGGTGAGCCTCACACGGCCATCCCCAAGGCCGCAGGCTACATGCCCTCCTAGCCCCGGGGACTTGTTGGCATCACCAGGGTCCCTGGGAGGGCCCTCTCATGCTCCTGGTTCTGTTTCCTGAGGCCCTCGATGGCCCAGCCCCTTGTCAGCTGGCTCTGAGCTGGTTTGGAACCCCTGTGCTATAAGGCCACGTGTTTTGGCACCAAGAGTCCATGGTGTGGTCCTCACCCATTGCCCACAGGCCATGTCAGCATGGTCTCGGGGTCCTTGGGCCACCTGTGGTCTCGCTTAACCCTTCCTGAAGTTTGTTGGAAGAGGGTCCCTGGACACATCTAGGGTGCACAGTCTCCCTGGGATGTGTCTCTTGGGGTCAGTTTGCAGGTTCTGCCAATTCCACATCCACTGAGGTCATTACTGGGCCAAGATCCCAAAGCTGGGCAGAGACAGAGCTCGACTGACCTACAGGGCCTTCCTGCAGTGTCCAGAGCATTGTCTACCTGTGACGTCCCCAGAGCTTAGAACCCCAAGGCCCCCTGGCCAGCAGCAGCTCTGCTGTGGGCCTCAGGCGACTGGCCACCCCAGGGTGGTCTGCAAGGCTCTCTCCCAGGAGCCCTGCTCTCATGGGCACTTTACAGCCCCAGGCTGAGAGCAGCCTGACCCATGCACTCCACCGATGCTGAGGTGGCATGACACTCAGGATGCCAGCTTCTGCTGCCGGGCAAGAGCACAGTGTGCAGAGGGGACAGAGGGTGGCCATCCCGTGTCTGACAGTGCTGAGGTCTCTTCCTTCTTTTCCCTGTCCCCCACAGGCGATCGCCTCCCGATGGACAGAGTTTCAGGAACTTCTCCTTTGAAAAGCCCCGTCAGCCATCGCAGGCGGACACTGGAGGGGAGGACTCAGATGAAGACTATGAGAAGGCAAGGCTGAGTGAGGGCACGGGTCCTACCTGGCGGGCAGGCAGGCCGAGAGGGGCCCTGGCTAGCTGTCCTACACCAGGAGCCTCCAGGGGCCTGCAGCCGAGGGAGGGATGAAGCACTGTGCAGAGCCCTGGGTCCCGGCGCAGGCCGGCAGCCAGTGGGAGTGGGCGTGGGGTGAGCTAACCATAAGACCCCGTAGACCTTGACACTGTCCACCGTTGGCCTCTCACCAGGTGCCACTGCCCAACTCGGTCTTCATCAACACAACAGAGTCCTGTGAAGTGGAAAGGTCAGCTTGGACCCCTTCCCTCCCCAGAGCCTTGTTTTGGGCCCAGACAGGGTGTCAGGGCCCATGCTGTCTTCCTGTGCCTCCGTCCCCTCCCTCGCTTTGGTGCTGGGGGGTCGCTGGCACAAATAGCCAGCCCTGAGTG